CCCAGAGGTATAAGAAGTTAATTGATCCTTGATTAAAGGAAGGAGAAATGCTTGAGTCTGGGTCTCGATCTGCACTCACTAGATATTTTTGTTTTGTTTTTTATTTTTGGTCATGCTTTGCAAAAATTTTGTAATGCACCTTTTATTACAAATAAATTTAAATTCCAGGCTATTGCCTTCAGAGTTTGATGAAATTAGTTACCTAACACATGTGTGATACACAGTGAAAGTTCAGTGAACTTGAGCCAGTGCCATTCCCTTGATTGTTCTGAACAGTGCCTTTTTCATGAGAGGCCATGAGATTTGCTGAGCTTCAGTTAATTTACTAATACTTATAGGTGCTTCCTTCTCTGAAGAGTGACTCACTTTATAGAAAGCACCCAAAATCAAGAGTCAGATCATTTGAAACCTGTTCAGCTCCATAACTTACTTGCAGAGTGACTGGTAAGTCACTTTAATCTCTTTGAACCTTAGGGTGGCTTAATGTATTAGTTTTTATGACTGTTTATCCTATTAGCCTTTGGACCACTTGAAGGTTGGAACTTAGCCTCTTTCATTTCATTGGCCCAGTCAATGCGTAGACCATGATAGGCAGCCAGGTCTGTCAGTCTACAATAGTTTATGTGGGGACCCTCAAGACAGTTTGGGCACATAATAACTGTTTAGTAAATGTTACCTATTATTATTCTCTGTGCTGTTTTCCCCTTTCTTTCCTTCATTCCCTTCATCTCTTCTAGCTCTATAGCAAACTTTAAAATTGTATTTGTTTAATACCATCAGTTTTGTAACTGACAGTATTGAAATCCCTAAACTGCACTGATTTTTTTGTGTGTGTGTGATTGTACTTAGCCTGTGGACTCTAGAAACCCCTCCTACTATATAAGAGTTAACTGAAGTCTCCCACCCTCTGTTGGACACCTTGAAAGACTCTAGTAAAATGATCTTTGTGTCCTTTGTACTCTATGCATATGTCAGTCATCACACTAGAAATAATTCAGTGTTCTTGCTTTTTTGACTGTCTTACAACACTGTGAACTCCTCCAGGGCAGGTACTATGATGTATTCACTTCCAGAATTCCAGTGTCTAGCACTGGGAAATTTCTCGAAGTGAAGTGATAAGGCACTATAGTGATTGGTAATAAAGATGGTGACGGTATTGGAAATAAAGATCGTTGGAGAAGAACTGCCTCTTCTCTGTGTCCTGGAAGGGCAAGGCACAGTGTTATATCTCTTAAGGACTAGTTGCCTAATTGGGGGGATGTTTATGCTTTTCCCATCAACTGAAGGAAATCTGTGGTTACTCTGTCTTCCTGGATCAAAATCAAGATTTGACTGGCATCACCCTCAATAATACCACAAGTTTATAGGGGAGACAAAAAAAAAAAAAACAAAAACCATTGGGTTTTGTAAATGCCATCTCCATGCCTTTCAAGAAAATAAACAGAACATATTCAGCTCCAACTTCTTGTCTGTTTGTGGTCTTCATCCACATAATCAGAACTGGAAACCCTCCCCAAGCCATAGGCAAAGAAAGAGGAAAAAGTATTTGGACTGTTCTCAGTTTAAAAGTGGGCAAAGGACTGACCAGATTTTCTTCCCTTGCCTTCTCTGTGAGGCTTTCTTCCCCTGCCTTCTCTGTGAGGCTTTCTTCCCTTCTCTTTTTAACATTCATTGAGTGTCCTCAGTGTGCCCCGGACTCTATGCTGACATTACTCAGTGCTATTGCCTTGACTTTCTTCTCAACTGATTTTGATGATATGTGTCTTCCCCTACTGGATTGTAAGCTTCTTGAGGGCAGGGTCTGGGTCATCTTTGTATTCCTTGTAACTTAATATATGTAGTTAAGACTCAATAAATATTTGTTGAATGAATGAATGAATGGATGCTTTAATTTTTGTATAATCCCAACCATGCTAAAGTTAGATTTCATTCTTCCCATTAAACAGATGAGAAAGGGAGTTTTGGAGACGTGAAATAACTTAAGTAGTAGGGAGCAGAGTCGAGATCATTAACCCAGTTCTGTCTAACTCCAAAACTCTTTTATATGTGTTTTATTGTCCATAGAAACATATGCTTTACAGGCCTATCATGTGAACACTATTAAATATAGAAGCTGGAGGCCTAAGAGTGGAGTGCAAATGTAGGGAACTTGGGGTCTGTTCCCTTCCTGAGTTTATTAGCAACACTTTGGCTCCTAGGCACCAGAGCGACTGCAGCTCAACTTTTAAATCTCAATATGTGGAACTTTAAAAGCAGACTATTAATAATATCATACTGCTGGCTTCTCAGCTACTTTTCATAGCCAACTTGGTTGCATTTCAAAATGTTTAGGCAGTGGCATGAAGATGGTTCGGCACCATATGGTATCTCTCCCCGGCCCCTAAACCCTAAAGATCATTTCTAAGCCAGAACATTTATCCACTGCCTTTCCCTGCCCCCTCTCCTCCATTGCAGAGACAAAGTTTTAAAACCTAATGGCTATTGCCTGTCAGGGCCCCTCTGTGTTTACTTTGAGAAGGTCAGGCACAATACTGTGGTGTGTTGCTGTTCTTTCTTTTCAAAGCACCAGTATGAATTTGATAAAGTAAATTGTTGTTCTAGCAGGAAGCAGTTAGGGGTCACAAAATAAATAGCCATAGAATTCAAATAAATCCAAAGAATAAAACCAAATAAATCCATGTGTGTATGCACAGTGATACATAAATACACTTTTTAGAAAGTGAGCATTTTTATCACTGCCGGTCTGAACCAAAGTAATTGAAAAATTGTGGAGTTCATGGTACTTTTTTTTTTTAGAGGTGGTCTGGGACTTTAACCAACATGACATGAATTTAATTCTTTTTGAAAAACATGAAAAATGGGATTTTATCTTTTAAACAACTGTTTATGTTGGGATTTTTCAGCTAATGAAATTCACATTTGGATGAAATCAATTTGCAAAGTTAAATTAGGGATTTCAGCATTTGGAGGTGGACTAAGAGATCCTGAATGAGCTCAGTATTCTCTCTGAGTCTCTGTTCCCTCCACTTGAAGGTGGGTGATAGTGCTTAAATAATACTTCAATGCAAAAATGGATATAAAGAACCCAACACATTGTGAGTGTGCATTCAGTAGTGGCTGTATTCGCTCACTGTTTTGTTTTGTTTTTTACAGTCCAGAAGTCTTTTATTTATTTTATTTTTTTAACACCTACTATGCCATGAATTCATAGGGAATATGTTCCAGCAGCAGGCTCCTTCCCATTGATTCTCACAAAGTGTGCTTCTCTCGGTAGAGCAGGCTGGCGCTTCAGTTGAACTCTTTGGCTTCTTTCTTTTTCTGATCATTTTCCTTCATGTTTTTTAGGAAGTGCTTGGAGTGCTTAATGTGCTCAGTAGGCACATTAATTCTCTTGGCAATAATCTTGCCCTTAACTTATTTGTTTACAACAATGCCAACGGCATGCTAGGGAATGCTGCAGACTCTTCTAGTTTAGCCATGGTAACACTTGTGGGGCATTCTTTTTAGAACAGTACCCATTCCCTTAGATGTCTACAACATTGCCTTTATCACAGATTTTCATATACATGGCCAAAGAAACAACTCCATATTTTCTAAAAGGCCTAGAGAACATCTGTTGGGTGCCTCTCCTCTTTCCCTTTGTGTTCGTCATTTTGGTGAATTACTGGAAGATGGCAGTTCCGGCTGAAAGGCCACCGTGTTTCTGGTAGTCTTCCCTAGTTCCAAGATTTGTAAAAGAGCTAGTCATTTTACTTTGCGAAGTGTCATTGGAGCTTGGTATTGCAGTTAGGTAGTTTGGGAGGAAGAGGTATTTTGGTCCAAGAGAATAGCATGAATCCTCAGTCTCTGTGTACTGGTTTCTTGGAGGCTTACTGAAGAGGAGCAGCAGAGCATGAAGCTGGAGAGATGTCCAGGTCATGGGAACTCCTAAAGTCATACTTAGAGGCTTTATTTCACCCTGTGTCATGGGGCGCCATTGAAGAGGCTTTAGCAAGGCTTTGACATGCTCATGGTCCAAGCCCTTCAGGAAGCAAACTGGTGGCTATCTGTAGAAGGGAATGGGGGCCATGAGCCTGATTAGGAGGCTCTTGTAGCATCCAAATGAGAGTTATCATGGGCCTTTGCTTTTTGAGTCAGGGTTTTGGGGGACTTTTCTTGGCAGGTGATGGAATCCATTTGTCATGACCTTTGAGAGAATAGTCTGAACTGGTCACTGATAACCAGCAGCAGCTGCAAGAGCCACTTGGTGCTCCTGGGTGCCCTGGGCCCTCTATCCAGGTCTGCAGGCAGCAGGGCCAAGCTCAGCTCTGCTCGCTATTATTGGTAGTTCTTTGAACAGTGAAAGAAAAGCCTGGGAAAATGGCATTCATGAAGCAGCTACTTTGTGCCAGGCACTGTGCTAGAGGTTGTGTGTGCATTGATCTCCTTTAGTCATCACCACAACTCATTTTACTGTGGGAAAAAACTGGGACTCAGGGAAATGGAGTGGGAACTAGAGGTCAAATCACTTAAGAAGTGGTGGATCTGGGGTTCACATCCAGATTTTTTGACTCCAAGGCCTTCACTACCCCAGGCAGCACAGTCTTAGTGAACTTCTCAAAGGGGAAGTGGTTAAGAGCTAAGAAATGAATGCCCTTGGAGGCATAAATCATTAGATTTGGGGCTATATTAGTAAATGTTACGATTTGGGCTTTAATTTTAGCAGGGTATCGTAGAACTGTGGGAAAAGCCCTGCTTTGGCTCTTTCACTGCCTACCTCCAAGCGCCTGGGGAAGAGAAGAGGATAATGCCTCTCTCCTCATAGGGGTGTGGAAAGGAGGAACGGCGATGTGCATAGCAAAAGCTCTCTCTAGGCTGTAGATCTCTACAAATGGAAGGAAAGATTAGCACTCTCAGTGATATTTGGGATGGTCTTTGCTTGAGGTTCCTCTTTGGCACTGATGTTTTCCCCTTCCTTTTTTTTTCTCTCCTGGTATATGCTGTGGTTCCACCTGGACCAGCGGGCCTCCCCTTCCTTATCATCGAGACAAGCACCATCAAGCCTTACCACCGAGGGTTTTACTGCAATGATGAGAGCATCAAGTACCCACTGAAAACTGGTGAGACAATAAATGACGCTGTGCTCTGCGCCGTGGGGATCGTCATTGCCATCCTCGCGGTAAGTGTCCAGACTCTGCTGTGGTGGATCCTGTCTGACTTCTCCCTGTGTTGTCATATTACAGAATATCTGAGCCAACAGAGATTTATACCAAGTAGAAGCCAACTTTCTCTGGCCTGTATTTAGCCAAGAAGCAAGGTAGTTAATCCTAAGAACACTAAATGTAAAATAAGTGCTATCACCCCCATTATACAGATGTGAGAGTTAAGTGACATACTCAAAGTCTACAGCTACAGAAAATTTGGGTTCAGCCTGTGCCCGGCTGATTTCAAAGAGACTTACAGTTCAGGAAGGCTAACCTGTCCAAATGAACTGCTCAAGGGGATAGGCAGTTAGCTTATCTTGCCTACTCTGGATCAAATGTAAGCTGCTGATGTTACGGGTACCACATTTCATGTAGTTTTCTTTTGACTTGCCTACTCTGGAGGTTGGTTGTAAACTTTGAGACCCCTCTTTGTTTTTTAATAACATCGTAAACCAGGCACACAATCAACAGCTTGAATTTGGGGAGGGGGAAGGGAGGCTAGTAGAATTCTTTCCAGCCTTTAAAAGAAAAACAGTTCGTTTGGCAACTGTAGTAGTTTCTTAAAGGTGGACTAAGGATCTTTGTGTTCAAAAACTGAAAAATGAAAGGTCTAGTTTTCCCATGTGCTCCAAATTGACAGTTGTGGGTTTCAGTTTCTAGGAAGAATGGCTTTCCCTGAAAAAGGTGTTTGTCAGGGAAGGCAAATAATTGCACAGTATCATGTACTGAGGTTTGAACAGGTGTTTTTGAAAGTTAGAGGATCAGTTAATTAAACACTTCAAAGGAGCCCACTATACCCAAGAGTGTGGTGAGATAAGAAAAGCACAGGGACAGGAATGTCACATGCTCGTCACTCTCTGTGGCATTATTCCCAGCTTGCCTAGTGGGCTGCTCCCAGGCACAGGGCAGTGGAAAGAGACACTCCTCAGAGCCTCTCCTAGCTATGTGAATTAGGTGGATCTTTGATTTCTTTAACCCTCAATTTCCTCATCTGTAAAACGAGATTGCTGTTTGGATTCCCTCAAAGGGATCGCTGTGAGAATCAAATGAATGCCATAAGACCTGGAATTGCACTTTGCAGCAGTGGGCTCACTGGAACGTTCAGAGTCTTTTAGTTGGAAATGGTTCTGGTTTTCTCACCCGGCCCCAGGATGGGCAAAGGAAAATGCTAAAGTAGCTTCTTTAGAGTTCATGTGTCTCCTCCCATCTTTCCTTCCCCAAGCAGAGCTTCAGGTCAGCAGCTCTTCGCTTGCTGCTTGCCAAGGCCTGTCCCTTTCTCCTTAAGGGATGTCACCTTTTCTTAGAAAAAAATGTGTTTTTGAGAGCTTCACTGTGGCTTGCCCTTTCCTTGTGTCATGTTGATATTTTAATTACAATGTTTCCTGACCTCCCAGGTTTTCTTGAAACAGTCATGTGCTGTGGCCTCGCTATACAATGAGCAACAGCATTGCTTCCCCAACCCATACAATGGCAGCAAAATGGATTAGATAGTGCTTTCCTATAGTTCCAGAGAAACATAAGCCAAGAAATTGCTACAATAATTGTTATCTCTTGTCCAGTGCAACTGTATATGGGAGATACACTTGAACAATGTGGTTGCATTTCACCCTTGAAGAAACCCCAAGAGCTAGGTATTCTTGTGGTTTTCAGTTTAGCACAGGGTTAAAGGCACATGCCCTGGTTCAGACCTGAACCCCTCTGCTGTGGACCATGTGGCAAATTACCTTTATGGCGCCCTGCCTCGGAAATACATCTGATACGTGGAGATACTATGGCTACTTACTAAGGTTTTGATAATTAAATGAGCTAATGTATATAAAGTAATTCAGTGCTTGGCACATACGGTATGCCCAGTAAATGTTAACTATTTTTATTCTAAATGAGTAAACAGAGTCAAAAAATGGTGAGGTGACAGCCAAACATTATATCTGGCAAAAATATAGTAAGGAGGCCGGGCGTGGTGGCTCAAGCCTGTAATCCCAGCACTTTGGGAGGCCGAGAGGGGTGGATCACAAGGTCAGATAGAGACCATCCTGGCTAACACGGTGAAACCCCGTCTCTACTAAAAAAATACAAAAAACTAGCCTGGCGTGGTGGTGGGTGCCTGTAGCCCCAGCTACTTGGGAGGCTGAGGCAGGAGAATGGCGTGAACCTGGGAGGCGGAGCTTGCAGTGAGCTGAGATCCGGCCACTGCACTCCAGCCTGGGCGACAGAGCGAGACTCCATCTCAAAAAAAAAAAAAAAAAAAGTAAGGAAAGGAACCCCAGCCTTAGCTACACATCCCCCACTCTTTTCTTATAGTGATTTAATTAGAACCCAGGTCTCTTGACTCTCACTCCTCTTTGCAATAGGACTTTCTTACCTCTTGGTCCAATGGCTGTGGCACTTTAGCTGGAGGCACATGTGAGTTGGGGGGTCCTAATGAAGCCTACTAGCCTGCTTACCTGTCATAACTATCAAGGGTACTCACAGAAAAAGGTAAAAGCAAAGACCTCAAAGGCGGAGGGAATAATTCACTTTTATATTCTCAGTTCTGGAAAAGCTCTAGAGTTTAAATTTAACAACAACAACGATGCTGATGACACAGTTCCCACTTTCCCAGCTGGCGTCATCCAGAACCCAGTTCTGATTAGAGGGCAGGAGTGACAGTCGTGGAGGCTGGAGGGGCCCAGAGCTGGAAATGGAACCATCATCCTGCTGCTTGCTGTCCTGAGCCTTCTGCTGAATGTCAGGTTTGTTTAAAACAGCAAGAGAGGACTTGACTGATTCGGATGCCCCTGCTCCCGTTTGGATGGTCTCCACAACAAAGGAACGGAATGGCAGTGGAGGAGACCAGTGTGGTTTAGAGATGCAAATCATCAGGCGTTATGGAGAAAGCAGACACCTTTCAATGGCAGGAGATATGGAAAAACCTAGTCATGTTGACCTCTTTTTCAGATGTATCTCAGATTCTGGAATTATAGCATAATAGGAATTGCTTCCAAATCCACAAAGCAATGGTTCCTATCCCTGCCTTGCAAAGGCTTAATGACTCTAGCAGCAGTAAGACTAGGAGCAAACAGTAAAATATCATCTCCTATCTCTCAGTTTTGTCTTGCACTGTATTACAAAGAGTATCATGGGCAAAGATTTAAAATGGGAAGAAATGCTAAGTATTCATTTTAAATATACATGGGCTCAGTGCTTGCCTCGCTCAGACCCTAAAAGGGGTTTATACAGAGTCTTAATATCTGATAATTGATGTATGGTTGAGTCATAGATGAATCCCCTCTCTCCCTTAGCCATAAAAATGCTACCCCACTTGAATCTGACTTCTGTAATAATATTCCTAACTAGAGAAAAAGTCAAACTTAGGCATCATCTGACTTAGGTTCATGTCCCAACTTCCGTGCTTACTCATTCTGTGACTTGTCCTTCAACCTCAGGAGAGCCATTGAACCCCTTGGAGCTATACTTTGCTTCTCTGTAAATTGGTCACAATAGTTCACCAATGCTATAGGCTTGTTTTGGTTGTCAAATCATGTGATATTATGTGTGTAATAAGTGAGAATCATCCTTCATATTTCTGTAGTGTTGTACAGTTTACAGCATGGCTTTTATGTGCCCTCTCTTCTTTGCGCCTGGTAGTAATCCTGGGAGGTTGATTCTTACAGCTAAGTCAACCGGGGCTCAAGGATATTAAGTGAGGAGTCTCTCATAACTAAGTAGTGGCATGGCCAGACCAGGAGTCCTCTGATTCCTGCTGCTGTCTTCTGCAGCCTACCCTCCTTCCACAAGTACTTATCAAGTGCCTTATGATGTGTCAGGTGCTGGGGACACAGTGGTGAACCTCAGCCCAACCAGCTGCATGTTATCTCTGGTCATGAAACTCAGCAGCTACCCCATCTCGAACAGCAAATAACACCTTTAATACATACTGTCATAGGCCGAGTGCAGTGGCTCATGCCTGTAATCCCAGCACTCTGGGAGACCAAGGTAGGTGGATCACTTGAAGTCAGGAGTCTGAGACCAGTCTGGTCAACATGGTGAAACTCGGTCTCTACTAAAAGTTTCAAAATTAGCTGGGCTTCATGGCACGTGCCTGTAGTTCCAGCTGCTTGGGAGACTGAGACAGGAGAATCACTTGAATCCAGGAGGTGGATGTTGCAGTGAGCTGAGATCTCGCCACTGCACTCCAGCTTGGGCAACAGGACGAGACTCCATATCAAAAAAAAAAAAAAAAAAAAAAGGCTACATAATAGGTTGCTGGAAGACAGGGGCCAGGTCTTTTCCTCTGGGCACATGGTAGGTACTTAATAAACACCAGGTAGACATTTCTCCAGGAAGCATTCCTTAGCTGTCTCCTCTCCTAACTTCCAAACGTCACAGAGAACCCTGGGCTTACCTCTGTGGCTGCAGTCACTGTGCTGATTCTCATGTCTGTTTACTTGTCTATTTCTTGGCTATCCTGTTAGCTGCACGGGGGAGCGACAGATCTGATTTGATTTGGTATTGCTAGTGTAAGACGTAGACCTTGGTGCTCAATATATGCTTGTGAAAAATCACTGAAGAAGTCATAAACGGGGGGCAGAAAATCAAAAGCATTAGGTCAAAAGATATCAGAGGATTCATGGAGCAGGGAAAAATGTCCTGTTTTCTTCCTTAAAATCTCAACTATGCTCCAGGAGGCACACGGGAACACACTCTGTACCACATGCAAATTTCTTGCTGGAGAGACAAGAAGAAGAGCTTAGTACCTGCAAGACTTGTTTATTCAGTATCAGGCTTCAGTTTGCCCACATCTGGACTTCATTAGTTCCTCCCCACCCCTCCATCTCCCTTTATCTGCAAGAGCCCTGCCAAGAAAACAAGGTTCCCCAACATTGCCTCCTCATTAAAGGCTAGTCGAATTTTCAACTCTGAAAAATGTGCAGTTGTGCTGGCCCAGTGGTGCGTTAGTGGGAGACCCAGTCCCCCAGTTTACAATCCTCTACAT